TTTTCCTAGTCTTATTCATTTTCTTAGTGTCAGGATCAGCCAAAACCATATAATTTCTGACACATAATCCTGTCTGTGATAAACAACTTTGGTTGTGGAGAATCTACATTTTTCCCAGGCAGCTCATTCCTGCATTAACTTTGACAAGAGAAAATTTTTTTTAATATTTAGTCTTAGTTTTCCACAATTTTTTTTATCTCTGACCAACCAAATTAAGAACAGTTGTCTTCCTGCTTGTTTTATAGAGCTTTTTATGTATATATATATCAGCAAGTCTTCTGTTGCCTGGAGAAAACCTAATCTTCTTTTAAAACATGAAGATTCAGTGGTGCAGGACAGCACTTATAACACTGTCTGGGTCTATGAGAAGCTCTGCAGAGTGTCAGGAACTCACCTGCTCCTCAGCATGGCTTCACAGGCCAGGTGTGGATCCCTTACAACTCATGAAGCACCCATTGCTCATAGATCACATTTTGGAAACCATCAATATAGATTACTTTTCAGTGAGAACTCCTAGGTGGGGCTCCTTGTCATGTGTTACTAGTGATATTTAATGTACATACTTCTTACCATGTGCCATGTAGTGGAAGTTTGCAAAGATTTTTTTTTTCCTTCACTACAGGTAGATGGGAGGCTAATCTTCAAAGACAAGTTTTGCAGTTAAAAGAATGTGTATGAAATTGCTTTAGGTTAAGCCTTACAGTAGGAAACATTTGAATATTGCCTTTAAATAGCAGAGGCTAAACACGACCTGTGTCAAGAGATCATCCTAATGCCTTACATTTGGTAAATTACTTATCATAGGTCTGAAATATGAAATTATTTGCAGGTAATAGCCTAACTGAGAAGGTATTTAAATGACTTTGAGCATACACTTTTGCCTTGCTCTGAACATGGATATTCTGTTTGACTGGTCTCAATCAATTTCTGAATAACATCTGTTACCATCATATTATCTTCAGAGCCTCATTTGGATGTTTTATTTTCAATGAGTAAACTGTTAGGTTAAATTATGTTGTGTCTTGGCATTCCAAATGTCAACATATTTGGGGTTAACACATAGATAAAAAGCTAAACTCTCTGCATCCCTGTGTTCTTGATAACACACTGTGACAGGACAGACACTGAGCCCTCTCTGTTTTGGTTCTGGACAGGGATCTTTGTTCAAACACTAGGTCTGCAGGGGACCTTGCATTCATCATTCATTTATTAATTTATTCATCCATCAACTAACTTTATGACAATTATTCCTGAACAGGGACTGAATTAGATATTGAAAGGTTTTTGAAATTCCCCAGAATTCTTAAGACTGCAATACTTTGTGTCTTCTGCCCTTTTAACAACTATCCAACATGTTTCAGGCTTACTGTATAGTGAGTCATTTTTGTAAGAGAAATGTGATTCTAATATGTTTTAACTGGAGCTAGAAGAATACTGGCTGAGGTACATTGAAAAATAGCATTACATAACATCAAATGAAGTGGGAATAAAAATTTATCTGCTTTTTCATGCTTGAATGACTTCTGAAATAATTGAAAACTGTGACTTGTTGGAAGGCAAGGGCCACGTGCCATAGTGACTCTTGATCACTTGAATTTAACAGTCAGATTGCAAATCTCTCCTCTTTCCATATTAAATTTTATTAGGAGTATTAGAGTTAATAATGCTTAATGCAGGATTTGCCCCTCATGACAAGGATCACTTCCAAATCCAATTTGACTATGGAGAATGCAGTATCATAGAAATGGATGAGGATATAGGTAAATCTGGCTAAATGTTGTTAAATCATAAATATTTGACCAGGAAAAAGCCTGGTGACTCTGAGCACGGTAACTGGAATCACCACAGAATCAGCTAGGAAGAATCTACTATAGAACACAGAAATATGAAATTTGAATCTATTCAGAACAAATCCATATAGTGCTCTAAGTCTCAGAGCTAGAGAAATTCGTCTTCTAATTCAATTAGGTCAACATGAGCAGTTTTTTACCTTATTTGACAGAAATATTTTCTGTCTACAGTCAAATCTGTCATTTTAAGAGTTATCATGGGGATTTTCAAGGCACTGTGAGAATGGAAATATGCTTACTTTGAGGCCTTTTAGTGGTGTGGAAATTTGATGATATATTTCTGCAAATATAAGTCTACAGTCAAGTACAAATTTACAGTTACCTGCTCTAGGTGAGCTTGTTTTAGCATGAGGGTTGCACTTGCTGATCTTCAGATGTCTCTGCCAACCCCAACTATTCTTTGATTCTGGTATCACAGCTAATCAAAGGCCTTGGGTTATTTGCTCTAGATAGGGCTTATGTTAGGGCTTATCCTGTCCAATATATTCAATAAGGACCTGAAAAGTGACAAGTTGCTGATGAAGGCAGCTACAAATAGTTACAGAAGGACCTCATGGTGCTAAATTACTGGATGATGAAATGGCAGGTGAAATTCCATGTAATGTAAAGTGATGCACAAGAGAAAAAGAATCTTATATTTATGCATCCAATGATGAACTTTGAACTGCTGTTGCCATGCAAAAAATGAGATTCTGGAATTATTACAACCAATTTTACATACTCTTAGCAGTAGTCAAATAAGAAAATCAAGTCTAAGGATTATTTTGCATGAATAAAGAAACAAAACACACATCGTTATGCCTCTCTACAAATCCATTATGTGCTCTCATCTTGAATACACAATAAAATTTCTTATCACTTCACACTTTTTCACTAGAAAAATAGAGATAGTAAAAGAAATAAAAAAACAAAAGGGTACATAAAGGGTGTCAGAAATAATCAAAGATAGTCAAAGATAGGAATATTCTGCTCTAGAAGAAACAAATAAGCAGACTAAGATTCATCAGCCTGGAAATTTCCCAAAGGAGTCTATAAAATCATGAAATGTGAAGAATGGCAGTATGAAATGACCTCCCATAAGATGATCAATAGAAAGTATCAAATGAAACTTGTAGAAGTCTGGTCCAAAATAAAGTGTTCAAAAACTCTGGAAGTGTCCCCAAAAGATGCAGATAATGGCACCTGAAGACATGTTTTAATGGTGGGCAGAGGGGTGGTACTGTGTTGATGGATGGACTTGATTTTAAAGGTCTTTTCTGACTTTAGTGATTCTATGATTGATTAAAAAAAAAAAAAAGGGTGTTTCTTTAAATAATTAAGGCTGTGCTGCAGAACACTGTAAGTAGAAAAAAATATATGGGTTCAAAAAGTGGGTGAACAAATTTGTTCAGAAAAATTCGGCAGAAAAATCCAAAATCCAAGGCATAGTCAGTACAGAGATGCTGTCTTTGACTCAGAAAGCTAATGAACCATAAATAATTGAAGTCTGGTGAATATTTTGGGGTAATATCATTTTATCCTTACACTGTCTTTTTAGTGTGTGCTAGACATCCAGTGCTGGCAACTGATGGAGGCACATGCTGGGTCTTCATGTCTTTGCTTGGCTCTTCAGAAGCCTTTATGATTTATCAAGACCTGAAAGGTGACAGTGAGGATGAGAAGCCAGGAATATTTGATAACAGCTGTGCCAGCATCTGGGCTTCATCCATGTGTCATTAAGTACCTGCCTCATCAGTAATGCTGATCTAAAGGTGTGTGAATAGTCATGAGTCAGGTGAAGAGAATGAATATCAGATATCTAGCATTGCTTCTTTACAATTTGTGTAAACAAACTCTACTAAATTTCCCCAGACAATAGGGTATTTTTTCACCATACTCCCTCACCCCTTGCATGCAGTCTTGTTTCAGGCTTCCATACCTCATCACCAATCTTTTCAACTAGCTTAGTGTATTTTGTCACCTTCGACTCTTTGCACAGTGGTAATAGTGACAGTCAATACCTGCATAATACCATGGGAAAAATGTTGTTCATATGAATTCCCATTTCCATTGAGAAAGATCCCTCAGGACCTTCATGGCTAAGTGAAGACCTTAGTATCTGTCTCTTGAGACCTAGGGTTTTAAACCAGGTCTGCATATCTCAGGCAAATATAGAAAAATAGGCTGAAATCTACCTTCTATTGTGAGCTGTTTTGTGTAACTGCACAGCCAGTGATTACCCTACTCATGTAAACAGATCTTTCTGTCATCATCTGGCCAGTGATTCATCCACATGAAAGGTTATGTGATATCTTTATGTTCATTATTTTGTTTAATTCATATTTATATTGTTCCATATCCTACTCCTTCAGAAGACAAACATCTGTGCTTTTCCAGTCCTTCTCTTGACACAGCTTTCTCATTCAGGGGTATATTTTACTATCAGGTCTTCAAGAAGGGATTTTAACAAGGCTTTATCATAGGGCCCTTAGTTTTGTTCCAATGCTTGTTGTCTGTGATAACCAGCCAAAAGAATGATTGAATCACACTGTGAAGGCATTTATCCTTTGGTATATATGACTTTATTCTTTCCTTTTCCACTTACACCTCATTGTTAGATGTGATTTCTCACTGTGATATATATAAGCTTGAATTTTAAACTCTTTGAAGTAGGAACTGCTTACAAAATTTCCCTCTTTCCAGACACAAAGGAACGGTCCTGGGAACAAATAAACAAGACTTTTAAAGTGTAAGTCACAGTAAGTTGCTCCCTTGAAATGGAAAAGGGAGGAATGTAGCCCTTTATTGGCAATGCTCCTACAGGTAAAGTAATGATGAGTAAAAAGAAGACTTCAATATCCAGAGCAGTCATTTTGCCTACTCAACAGAAGCAATTCAGTTAACATGTAAATTGCCTTTTAAAACCAGGAATTCCTTGTCGCTGTGTGGCTGCTTTTTTAGCGTGTCTCCTTTTCCTGCTGCCTAACAGCAGTTAATGGAGCTGCAAATTGTTATCAGCTTGATATTACCATAGACCCAGCTTACACAAATACCTGATAAGCGCTGTAACACATTTCAGTGGACGAAAAGTCATTATATAACATTATTTCCTTTTACTTTAATGTGTTCCAGACCACTTGGACAGCTCTCTTAATGAATCTCATTTTGCAGAGGACAGCCACGTTTGAGGGGCTGCCAGCCTGAGATGCTGGTGCCTGCATATTGAAGACTCAGGTGAGATCCTTTGACATCTGACATGTCTATGCTGACTGTCTTGTAATGAAGTGAAAGCAGACACTGAAGAGATGATGGTTTTGACAGGGATGAGGCATTTAGGAGTTTTATGTTTAGTCAGGCTCCTGTGCACATTGTGTTGAGCAACAGCATTACAGAAAATATTTCTGCAGCAGCAGGGGCTGCTGATCTTCTGTTTGGACCTTTATTTGTATGTCTGACCCTGCATCAGCACAGTCACTTAGCAACACAGCATCCACCATATTATTTTATGTGCTGAAGTATTGCATTATATGCACAGAGTGTTCTTCACATCTCCCAGGTTGGATAAAAGGTTGTCTCTGTTTACTGGTGGGGACCTGAGATGGAGGCACCTGAATTGGATCCAGACACCTGAAAATCATTCTTCAAAGCTTAGCACTTAGCCTATCTATGGAAATTCACAGGCTTTTCTTCATGATAATGTAGATGTTTAGTTGGATGGGATCTGTTGTTTTCTGGCTGTGCTTGTCTCCCTCTTAATGAGAGCTGAAGTCAGTTGGGGTGAATGCAGGAACATTTACAGATCTAATTACTTTCTGAAGGCATTTAGCTATCCAAAGATGCAGACCAGGTGCTTAGGAAGGGTTTGAAAGTGCCTTCTGCAAGTCCAGCTTCCAGGAAAATGAGCGTTCCAGGAAGGTCCAGAGAAGCTGTGGACTTCTCTGCTCTGGGATGAGTCCAGGATGCCCATCTTCTGTCACCCATGCAAATGGCCTGAGTGATTATGGAAGACATCCCTCTGCTCTGCTGGATTCTGTGTCCATTCGTCCTAACTTCATCAAATAGTCTCTGAGGAAAAAGGGAGAAAGACCTCTCTTATATGAAAGGAGGCAGATCCACAAGATTTTTCTCCAAAGGTGGGAAGACATTCTTGAGATTGAGGCAGAAATTGTTAAATGATGTAGGAAGCAGTTCTAAAATTTGTGGTGATCTTGAGCAGGTTTAAGGGTTTCTGAAAAGAGCCAAAAATTCTGATAATTTGGAGCTTTTGAAAGTAGCCTGGACAAATTGCTGTATAAATAAAATTTGGGAAAACAGCCAGCATTGGCGGAGAAAAGAAGTGCTGTTTCCAACATGTGACTCTAGGATTCTGCCAATTCAAATCTTTTTGTAGTTTTAATTGCCTTCTATTGCTAAGTTTGTGTTCATGCATAATGTGTATGATGGCTCAAGTGCTAAATGGTATCAACATTTCACTTCAGATGTGGCAGTTCTCCTGGGGAAGCAATGCTACTCCTGTAGAGCTGTGGGGAAAAAAATTTGAAGATAAGAAAGAAATTTGGCACATGACTTACATAGGCTTTTCTCCATGGCAGGGTTTCTACCTGACCTTTTTGACTTTGAAACTATTCCTTCACTGTTGCTGAAATTAGCCTGTAAAAAGCTAAAATAGATATGCATGGTTCTACTGTTAGAATAATATCATGAGTTTATTTTCTCTTTTTAGGAACTGTACAGAACATCAGATTCTGATGCCATTCCTGGGCTGTAGGCTCTTCCTTGGGCCACCCTTCATTTTTATTTGTACAGCACCTAGCACTAAAAGGACTCACTTTCCCTTTAGCCCTCAAACCATATAAATACATGTAAACAGTAATAACTGGCCACCAATGCACTTCAAAGTGAACCACAGAGATCAACAGAGGTCAGATCCCCTTTAACTCCATGAAAACAGCAGCAATACGCTTGAAAATTAGTAATGGTGGAAAATGATAGATATTTATTCCTGAGAACCAACTGTCTGTTTCCAGAGTAGAACTCAACTCATACTTTGTAAGAGAAATACACTACCTCTCTAAACTTAGATTTAAAAGTGTCAGCCTCTCTACTCATGAAAGTGTGCATTCATTGCTAAGGTACACAGTGGCTATATGAAAATTTTCCTACCATTAAGTTGATATTTAATTTACCTCTCTTTTGCAAGTCACTTGAAACTAACATTCAGTAAATTGGTTTTGGGGGAGAGGTGGTAGGGACAAACTGAGTATCTAAGTAAACACTGCTTGTCCCTTGCCTAAGTAAATTAGGACTACTAAAAAACACAGTGCTCTGTGATGGTGGATGTGTAATAAAAATAATAAATAGTATCTAACATTTTAAACATTTCACCCATTTGTTCTTTATGGAATATCAATATGCTATTCATTTGCTGAAATTTGACTCAACTGGTTTTTTAATAACCCTTGACATATGTGTCCTAGAGGTGGAAGCATCCAGGACTAAAAGGGAGACAGACAGGAGAGACCTCACCACAGTTTATCAGTGCTGTCACCAGGGAAGAACTCTGGATTGATTATGTGCTGCTCAGTCCATTAGATAAAATTATAATGTCATAGGAAGTTAGTGCTAGAGAGTTCATAGCTGCTCAAGACCTGTTTAACAGTATGGGTGCTTAGTCAGTGGAGTTGGTGAAGCTGTTTTTCTAAAAGAATGAGATGCATCACCAGGTGAAGGAGCTGCAGGAAGAGTGAATAGAAAATTCAAGAAAATGAGCAAGAGATTGAGAGATTGTTCTCAGACACTCTACAGTCTCGAGAGTCTCAAAGTTTGATTGTAGTGGAGAGCCAGGTGGCCCTGGAATCCTGTCGAGTAGCTAGTCAAGGGTCTGTTAAACAGAAGGTTGGAAGCTGCTCACCATCTCTACCAGGAGAAAACCAGTGATAGGCAGTGGAACCTATCTAGTAAAGATCACCTAGCCACAACAATGACACTGATGAATTACTGCAGGAACTAAGGGACACCCCCAAATGAACTGCCCATGTTCTTATGGGAGACTTCAACTTGCCAGATGTTAACTGGGAACCATAACTATACTGCTGGCACAAACAGGGCCAGAAGATTCCTAAAACTCCTCATGAATTCTTCATGATGCAGGTAGTAAGAGTGCCATCTAGGAAAGCTGGTTGCTTAATTTGTTTCTTGTTAACAGAGAGAGTCTTGTGAATGAAAGAGGGGATTGGTGACCACAAAGCAATTGAATTTAAACTTTTGGTTAGGAGGAAAAGTGTCAGCAAAACTTCCATCCTGAACATGAGGAGAGCAAACTTCAGGCTGCTCAGGAAACTAGTGAGTAAGGCCCTGGGAAAATACTTTTGAAGGTGCTGAGGCCCATCAGTGCTGGTCACTTTTTAAGCAAAACCTCCTAAAGGCCCAGGAACAGGCAATTCCAAAATGTTGGAAGTCAAGCAGATGAGACAGAAGACCAGCTTGATTGAACAGGAATCTTCTCTTGGCAATAAGACAAAAAAGGAATTTGTATGCCCAGAGGAAGCAAGGTCAGGAGACGAGAGTAACAAAAATGCTGCTGGTATTGGTACAAAAATGAACTTGTACTGTTTCATTTCCTCTTCTCACTAACTTCTCACTGAATTGTTCTTCCCACATGTGCTCTCTCCCCCATGGTCACTGACTTTGGGAAAGCTCTATAGGAAGAAATGCCCTTCTTTCACATACTGGAAAAATATATTCTTCTTGTCCCACTTGTACATATAGGTTGTGTGAAAGAAAAACAGGTATTAGATTTTCCAGTGGTCTAAAGCAGAGTAACTAGAAGTGCAGCTGTGCTTGAATTAATTCATGGCGTATTTCACAGTGGTTGCAATTAAATTTGAATGAAGCAGTTCATAAATCACTGGTTTTTACTTTTTTTAGATCATAAGTGTTAGACAAGTTAATCTGCTGTAAATTCTTGCAGAATTAGGCATGGGACATGGCCAAATATGCACCACCTCTGACAAACTGGATCAGTGTCATGACTTTTGTAAAATGATTCATTAAGTAAGGTGACTAACATGCACAACTCAGTTACAGTATCCAGCAAGCACAACTTGAACTGGAAATCTTGCAATTCAGAGGTGAAGATGGCAGCATTTTGTCTGAAGACTCTTTTGTATGCTAATGATCTTCCATTTCTATCTCTTTCAGACTGGAACAGAAGCAGGGAGGAGCTCATTCTTTATTAGAGATTCTGCAAGCCAGATGTAAGCCATGACCTTAAAGTGTGCAACTCTCCACCATACCCTGCTGCTGACATCTGAGCCTGTATCAAAGCTGCACCCTAATCTTTGCAGCTGGCAGCTAATTCATCTCATCTAGTGTGTACCATGCTTACACATATCGGGCCTTGACTTTTTATTGTATTTTCAGAAACACCAGGGCTGCGAATCTGTATCTGAATCCTGCATGTTGACATTTAACATAATTGACACTATGACATGCTCAGTGATCTATTCAAAATTTGCTCAGACTCAAAAGATTGTTATTTTCCAGGGCTCTGAGCATATGCCCTTGTTTAACATGCTGTATTTGTGTATGTACTGACATAAATGAAAAAGTGCATATATAGGATTAATCCGTCTGATCCTGGAGTACCTGTTGAGCTAATTATATAACAGAAGTTACTCTCTGTACCCTCTTGAAGGACAGAAGTGATTTCTGTTCACTCTAAATCAGAAGCCATTTATGTGATTTCTGTATTTCTAGAATCGGTGCCTCAATGTCTCATAACACTAGATTAACTAACTGAAATAATTAGGAAGCTTGTTTATGTATGCAGAAATCAATATTGAAAATTAGTACAAATACTATTACAAACCCTGATCTTATCAGCAATTTTTAGCATTTTCTTGTCCTTGCCTTGCCAAGTAAGATGACTAGCAGATGTGAAAAGTACCACTCTGAGCCAGTGCAGAATATATTTCCCTGAAATGATAACACAGATATTCATTTATGTATTTGTGTACAACTAATTTGTGTAAGACCATTGTAACCCACAGAACATGGGAATCATATTTAATTAATATATTAAACTTAATTTGCCACCACCATCACCCTGAATGTCTCACATGCCTTGTAACCACCCTCAGGGTTAGAAGGATTCTGTCTCACCAAGTGTCTCATTGAAATATCCTTATCATCCACTGTATCCACATCAGTCTAACCTGGTAAGTTACTGTCCTATTCCTTCTGTCTCAGTAAGGAATTACTACACAGATTTTCTGATCTCCATATTTGTCCTCTGTTTCAGGGTCACACCTCTCTCTCTTTGCATTACACCAGTTTGTTGCAGGGGTTAATGTGGTAGTTTTCATAATCTTTGTAGAAACAAATACATCAGAGATGAAAAAGCCCTCCTAGGTTATTTGTCTCTCTTGTCTTATTTTGTGACAGGTAATTTATTCCCTACCACATTGTCTTGTCTTGCTGTAAACGACTTGAAATAAAACTTTCACCAATTTACGCAGGAGACTGGTCCTCATTGCTAGCTTGCAGATATTTCTCCTACTTTTGCAAAAGGAATATTAAGGAATTTTTTGTTTTGTGCTTTTCTTTTAAAAATAGAATGGGTCAAATCCTTACATTCTTTTCATGGTGATTTAGTATCTTTTGGAGGTGTGAGTTAAAATTGGCCCCATTTTGCAGGTTTGATTTTTTCTTTTTCGACCCTAACAAAGAGCTATAGACATTTTCCACTTAGTGTCTCATCATGCCTGTATAGTTTCTGTAAACTCACCCTGGTGTGGATAGTCTCACCCATGGACTCAGACGTCCTTTCCAAAAGGCACATTATACAATTCTCCCACTAAACTGTGTCAATACCCCCTGCTATACCCTCTGGGCTCACCTAAGGCATGTAACTGCTTTGCTAACATTTTGTTCTTCCCTTCAGTCATACAAACTTGTAATTAATCTGCAGACTCCCACATAAAGAATTTCTTATCTGGAAGATGGGACTCTCTCAACTACTAAAGTTAATTGAGGGGTTTGTCCTTTGACTGTTCACTGTCAAACATGTTAACAGTTTTGGCAGCAGTGTCACGTCTGCGAGGGCCATGCTCCTCTCTTTGCAAGTGAACATTCTCACCACAATCCACCTGGTGTGAAACATTTGCACTTCCTTTCCCTGAATCTTCTGAATGTTTCATTTGTCTCAAAATTGATATTGCTTTGGTGGGAACACTACCTCTGTAAACATGGGTGCCAGATATCTGAATACACTGAGCACAGCCTGGCTGCACAAGCTGAATACATGAGCTATGTGTGTATGTATACATATATATTGATAAATATATATATATATAAATACACACACACACAGACACGCACACACACACACGTGTATAGAGATTTGGGACTTAAAATCTAATGTTTTGTAGGAATTAAAGTCAGACTGAAAAGGGATCAGTCTGGAACAGCAAATAAGTTTCTGAGGCTCTCCTTTGTATCCTACTGATCTAAGCTCTGTTAAAATATAAGCTCCCTTAAAATGGAAGCTCTGGTGAGTGCAGTACACCCTGTGGAAATCTAAATTGTGATTATACAGTTAAGGAGACACAATCTAGAAACATTAACTATATGCCATGCCTTTTCCAGCTGGTCCTGTGAGGCTCTTACAGAACTACCATGCCAATCAGGTCTATATAGCAGTATAAAGTTAATCAGCCACACAGGTCCTTGCTTATGTTGTGTAACTTTGCATATGTCATACAAGTATATAATTGCTAATGTTGGAAAAGACCTTTAAAATCATCAAATCCAACAATGCTGGGATACTTTTGAAAGAGCTTATCTAAAGTTTCTCTATATTTGTGCAGTTGCATCCAACCAGGCTGAGCACTGATCTGCTTTGGGTGGAAGTAGCTATTCACAAAGGAGACCTCTATTCCCTCTATTCCTAAGTCAGCACTATGGAATTCTTGCAGGTGGGTACTTGAAAGTCAGGCATAGTGGTGTTAAGAGCCATTGCACCCAAGTGTCCTTTCAGTCTGGCCTTCAGTGTTATGTGATGTGACCAAGGAAATGTGAGGCAGAACAAGCACCACCAGGTTCTGCTTCACAGCATTTCAAATTGCTGTTGTAACCCGTGGAGTATCTTTCTTCTTTACACCAGTACTTTGTGAAAT